CTGAAATACACGGCACTGTTTTTTATTTAATTTGATATTATTTGTATAAATAGATTATTAGTGTTTTTTTTTGTATTCAACCCTACAATATATTATACACTGTATACACAGCGCTGTTTACTATACACTGCATACAAGGGCTGCAACAACTAATCGATAATCAAAATAATCGAAAATCTATTAATTGTGTGAGGTGCTTGGAAAACGTCCGCCGGTTTGCATTGTTTGGAAGACAACATTGGGCAGGATGTAGAATAACATTTTATTTTATATTAAATAAAATACAGAAAAAACAAAAATGGGCTTATCAAAAAATAATTGTCAGTTTAATTGATTATCAAAATAATCATTGCAGCCCAGTATACTAAATTGTATTGTGTTTACTATACAGTACATGGTATACTACATACTGTATATTATACCCTATGTACTATTGATGCAGTACTGTAAACGGCACACTATATACTATGGTATACCATGTTGTTACAAGGTGATTCAGAGGGTCTGTTGTCTTTTGGGACATACGGGTTTGAAGTGTGTGCATGAGCATGCCTCTAATGTATCACAGTCCTAAGGGATGGGGATTTTCGGGTGAATCCACCCAGAAATCTACAGCACTGAAATGTAAAGAGACGAAGAGAGAGAGAGAAAAGTCTTGGTTCAGAGGCAGAATTTTCAGGGGATAATTAGTAAGAGTGAGCGCTGAGGACTGGGGCCGAAGAGTGAAACTCTAAAGCTCCGAGCAGAGATTATCTAAACCAGAGCTGAACTTCTCCTGACTCTTCTAATCACTCCTCAAAGACGGCTAGTCGCATAGCATATCTCTCACGCTGCAGTAGCCAGCTAACCCACCCAGCTCCAGTCACTTCAGACTTTAGTCCAGTCTTGTGCAGGCTCTAGATTAGCTCTGAGCAGAAGCCGTTTGGATGACCTTCAGCCACCAGTAATTTCATCATCCCCAGCACCAGCACACTGATCCTCAGCCATTAGCCTAAGCTAATAACTTCTTCTCATCTCACTAAAACATAAGTAGAGGGTTGGTGAAGAGCTGATTTCATTTCCCTCCTACATGAAAGAAAACTGTTACGATTAGCTGTCTCTTCCATTATCCGCTATGTGTGGGGTTGCTAGCAAAGTATAATTTGTTCGTTTATGTAAATGTTTAGGCCTATTTATAATTTTTATTAAAAGTAAGTGTATAGAGAGGACAGGAAATGTATCTAGTGTCAGAATAACTTCAGGACTGTCTACACAAAGCCGTGTGTCATCTCAGAATGTTGACTAGCCAATCAGATGTAAGCTCGTACTTAACATGTAAAATGAAAATAAAACCTTTGAAAAGGCAATCCTACTTTATTTTCAACAGCAATCCATTGGCAAACTATTTGAACAGGAAAATCCTTTCACAAATAATCTTAATATTGGTAACTGTGTAAATTTAGGGCATCAGAAATTCTAGCATCTTCTAGTATTTTGGCTAAATTAAAAGCAGAATTTCAAAATTTCGTGCTAATTTGAATGATTTTGTATTTTTTTCTAATCGCATCATGTTAGATCCTTATTTCAGTTTTCACATGGAGATCGTGTAGAAAAGTGTAGAAATCTGTCGATTTTAAAGGGGAAATTGTAGTCTTGTTTTGTATTGTGCAGACACAACACGATGCTACAAGAATTTGCTCAAATCACAAGGTCAACAACAGCAAAGAGATCCAACAGGTCGATTTATATGAAAGATTCTGTCTCAGCATCTCTGGTTTTAAAGCATAAATATGCGGTGGTGTTGAAATACACTCGACCTGTCCCTGGAGTCACTGACTCAGCCCAAAACACAAGCCCTCTCTGAATGATAGACCGAACATCTTCAAAATCCAGCCTGTTCATGCACTCAGCAACACGACAACCTCAGAAACACGAGACACTGCAACATTATACGCCTCAGAAATGGAAGTACTATTTAAATAAGAAGACAGAGACCACCAAAACATCTCCATATCATCGTGAATTATACGATTAATCTGTTTTGACCGCAAAAAATGGTTTCATAATCAGCACTGATGGCTGTCTGGACAAGAAGAGCCCATATCCCAAAAGCTCACAAACTATTAAAATCTGCAGAAGGTAATGCTTATCAGTATTAGCTAGTAATAAGGCCTACTGATATAATAAGGAACGCATGCAATACCTTTGTTTCTGCCTACATAGGGGTTGGTTGAAGAGGTTCCACAGAGACAAACAGGAAGGGAGATGTCAACAAGAAGGACAGTGGGAAAGAGAGAGACAGGGACAGTAAATTGGAGGATGACCGTTCTGCACACATACATATTCAGGACAGATTCACATGCACTTGAGAATAATGTGAGCATGCAAACTGCAGTTTCTGACTTGAATTCCCTGTACTACAGAATTAATAATATAGACATAATTGTTACCCCATGATCCACATATGAACTGAGGTGAAAAAAAAAAAAGTTAGTGTTACTCAAACTAACAGATGCTCAGGGACAGAGTTTGGCACTATTTTGTATTTCTGGTTTGGAAGATGTTGACATATGCTTTCTCCATAAGGACTAACCTATGTCCAGTTCAAAAGCTTATGACTCAGAACACGAGTGCTTGAATGAAGGATATATAACGGATTCATGTCTGTGTGGCTGTCCATCTCCACCATAGGCAAGATGCACACAAGAGTGACCTAAATTAGTGTGAATACCCTTACGAAAAAGAAGTATATTTCAAGTTAATTTCAAGTATACTTGAGTAAAGTTCAAGCCCCCCTGAGTATATTTTTAAATATACTTTATACTAATATCAATGTACTAGTAGTGAACTTGTAAGTGTACTATTTCAATACTACTTGGGACTAAATTGGCCCACTTTTTAAAAGTAGGAGTGTACTATAAGAGTAACAGTAGTAAACTTTAAGTGCACACCTTGTTCACTACTACAACTACGTTTCTCATTTGCGCTGCATCTGTACTACTCAAAAGTATACTAGTAGTTTACTTTTTTAAAACTTGTAGTACATTTTTTTAGTTTAAGAAAGTACATTTTGAAGTGTACTCTCAGTAAACTAGGCTAATGTGGTTTTATACTGCAAGTATACTTGTAAGTTTTCTTTAAGTGAACATAACATTATACTTATAGTTTACTATTTATTATTTTTGCACTTTACTAATATTTTCCTATTTAGGTATTGCTTTTTTATACTTGAAAAATACCTTTAATTGTACTTTAAATCTATTCATTTGAACATAAAATATTTTATTCTAGCTTCATGCATCCTTTTTTTTCAACACTTGAATGTGGGTAAGTTTCATAAAATAAACAAAAGATTTTAAAAACAAAAAGCTGAGAAAATCGCATTTTTGTCAAAGGCTAAGTCCGGATTGGATTCAGAATTATGAGATGGAGTAGATTGAGTCCACCAACACCCCCAAAGCTTCACAGTCTTTTCCTCCTCATGGGTTCAACATTTCATTCGGTAACATTAGGCAGTTTTGATTGCGTAAGCAATCTTTTATTGCTTGTTTCTGCTGCTTCTTCAAAATCTGTTTTGATCCTGAGATTCTGTACTAGGAGATGCGTAATAGCGCCCCCTACAGTATAAAAGTAAAAACATGAATAGCCAGAAAATTCGGTCAATGATGGGGAAAGAGTAAAGTAGATTTGAAGTAAATGCCTATGTACACTAGTGGATAGCCAACAAAAATTCAGATACACAGAATTAGGAACATCTGTTTTCTTTATAAATCAATATTTTCAAACAATGTAGCCTAAGTTTATAAGACTATATGTAAAGATATGTGAAAAAAGTATTTAATAGGTGATACTACCAAATACCATATTTTTTCCAAGTATTTTAATTAATGAACAAATTTTAATAAACAAAATCTTTAGCTGTGCCCCAAATTTTGCCTACAACCCGGTTACCATATTACCATATACAACCCGGTTATTTTCCATTGGACATTGCAACATCATTTGGACCCTTACAGCATGGCAGAAAGACAAGTATAATCTCTTTCCATAAATCTAATTTATTCTGTTTCTACAAATTGTAGCGTTGACTATTTAACCATGTTACCATAACTTTTGTAAGAAAAGAGATCAAATTTTTTTTTTTTAAAGGTTCATTAATAACTATAAACCAACATTTAGTCAGAAACTAGAAAGCTCCTATTGAGTGACAACTTAATTTAATTTAAATTTGCAACCCTGTTATTCTGACATTGATTTTAGTGCTTTATTTAATTAAAGATGTATCTATATTTTATGTTTAATCCTAGAATATAACAAAATCACAAATCAGATTTTTTAATTGTATTTGGACATTAATTTCAGAAATGGGACTACAAAATGGCACAAAATTTATGTTAAACAATATTATATAAAAGTATAATATAACATTTTATATGAAATGATGTTTATTCAAACTATAATATATTGAGTTTGACCTTCACATGTTGACAACCAACATTTTCTGAACCTTCTTTCACTATTTAAAAGTTCGGGACAAAACCATCACGCAGATCATTCATATACCACAAATTTAAAAAGAAAAAATTCAATTAATATTCCCTTTTGCTTCCTTTCAGCACTGTTCATTCAGAGAAGAGCTGTTCTGTTTAACTCAGGAATATATTATTTATAGCTGCATAGTAATTCTGCCAGTCTATGAATGATATGTAAGTAATACGGAGGGCAGATCAGTGCTTGTACATTATGGGTCAGTTGGCACAGCAGCAGTCGAACGTAAGAGAGAGAATGTAACTTTCTATAACATCATAGGGGGAGTCAAACCTGTGAAAACCTCACTCGTAACCTGTCAGTTCACCGCAGTATCACAGAGAGAAATGACATAATTCGGCAAGAGGACAATAATCATGCAGTGTCACGAGGGCAGAGCCAATCATAAAGCAGCATGCACGTGCAAGAGAAGTCGCAACAAAAATGTAAACACGTTGGAAAATGTGCAATGAGAGAATTAAGACAGAGCATACCTTGAGGAGACTTCACCATATGCGCGAACCCTTGGGGAAGACAATGAGCGTGATAGACAGAGAAAGAGAGAAAACTTGAGAACACCAATACCAATACTGTTCAGGTATTGAGAACACTCATAGTTTGCTGACAGACAAACCATGGCTATCACACTAAAGCTGAAGCTTTCTGCAATTAAAAAAAGCTTCATTCAGAAAAGAAATTGACAATAACATTTCTAACTCCCTAATTCAGAACATATGTGCTAATAATTAGGGCTGTCAATTAATTTAGCACAATTACTTTTGAATTTGATCAAAAACACATGTAAATAATTACTGCGAAATATTATTACATATGTAAAACAGCTGTATAATATAATTCAAAATGTAATTTAGTCATGTGATGACAAAGCTGAATTCATAGCAGTCCTCCCTAATATCGTCATAACCAATCTAATATGCTGATTGGTGAGCTTGTAACATTTATTATTTATCAATGTTGAAAAAAGTTGTGCCGCTTCATATTAATGTGGAAACTATGATAAATTTTTTCAGGTACTTTTTTGTACTAAATTTAAAGGGCTTGATTAATTAATCAACATTATGTAATTTTTACGTATTTTTTATATATAATTGACAGCCCTAATAAAATACTTTATTGTAATATTTAAGTAATTTGATAATATATAATACTATTTGACGCTTTCACACATACAGCCTTTGCCAGAAATTTAAATGTGTAAATATTCATTTATATTTAAATATTTTGCCAGCTTTGAGGGTTTTCCGACTTTTCAATCACAAATTTCTGTTGAAAAAGTTATTTACTTTTATCGTGTCAATTAATTTAGCCACAAAATTCTGCAAACTTGTGCATTCAGCTCCAAATAAATTGTGCACTGACTCCCATCCTTCTAGTAGAAATAGGGGTGTTGATGATTATTAATAGAAAATGTATTCATTGTTTTAAATACTCTGGTGGATTCCTAGAAAGCATGCGTAGCTTATGCTAAACGTCGTCACCTCCGCGACACACAGGCTTGGCTTGTAAAAATGGAATGAGCTCAACTTAATGAGGTGTGGGAGTATTTCACTACAAACAAGGATTATGTTCACTGCCAGCACTGTGATAGTGTGCTGAAGTACAACATGACAACAAACACTATGATCGTCTGTCAGGAGAACTGCAAGCCGCGAGGAAATGACCAGTATGTTACACACAAGCAAGTTTTAATTCAGTGTAATTTAAAATATGTAGCTGTATTTTTGTATTGTTATTAATGCTAATACATTTTATTAAATCAATGCATTGAAACAGCTTTCTGAAAACTTAATAGAGGAACATATTTAAATGAACTTTATGCTAGGGTATGTGGGGTACGTGCACAAGGTATTTGGAGTCCTGTTTTATGCGATTTTATGGCTTCATGTGTGAAAATGTCTATGAAGTGAATAGAACATTATTTGAATTCTCTTTATCTGACTTTTAGCTAAGTTTATACAGTATGTGTGATGTGTTTTCACAGCCTAAGACTCACTTACCAGGAGTTTTGTTGACAGCTTTTGAGAAGATGGCACAAAGGGGAAGGAAGGCAGAGAAAGTTCAACTGTTAGACACACTTTTGACTTTGCATGGAGGCTGTCATGCAAATCTTTTTTTTTTTTTTTTTTTTTTTTTAGCTATAAACAGTTTGTCATGCAAGGGATCAGGACTGTCCCTTGCATGCCTATTACAAAACAATCCTGTGGAAGAAAAAGTCCATAATATCTGTTCCATTTTCTGAGAAACAGATTGACATTATTGTTTCAAATCACTCCATCACATTGAGAATATCGCTGCAGAGATATTGTATAGTGTCCAGAATGCCACAGCGCTCCTCACATACACTGGATGAGGCCATAAATCCAAGCAGGTTACTAAACCAGCTGTCCGATGTAGACCATGTGGATTTACGAGGTTGTGAGGTTTGTGGATTTCAGGACACGCTGTGGACACGAAGAATTACTCTCACTGAAGACTCATGTGTGATTAGCTATCCAAGTAAATCATCCAAAGTTGTTTTATGTTTCTGAATAAACCAGTTTAAATGAATGCACACTGATTGCATGAGGAGAACAGCACAGTTCAACCAAATAATTACATACTGTAAAACCTTAAACCAGACATTTGAGATTGTAAAGCTTTTATGAATCCCCGGTATTAAATGATATCTGACAAACCAATTTAAACCAAAGAAATAACTTCAATCTCAAGGCTGAATAATATTTTTAAAAAGCTGATAAAAACAAAGCATGCTGATGGACTGAGAAACTTTAGACTAAGATCAACTATACACTGTGCTTTTTTTTTCTTGCAGGATTGTATGAAACATTTATGAATTTTTCAAACACGCCGTTGAAAAGTTTATGTGTTTCCTGGGAATAGTCAACAACCTACCAATTTAACATTTTATGCATTAGCCAGGTGATTTATCCAAAGCGACTTGCACTGTATTCAAGGAATGTTTTACGAGTTTTCTGGTAACATTCCCTGGGAATTAAATCCAAGACTTTGGTGTTGCGAGCAGAATGCGCTACCAGCTATTAGAACAAACATTTTTAATATTATGCCTGTCCCTGCTTCATCAGAGGGAATTCTTCAGAAAAGCAATTAATCGGCCATCGTTGAGCATGTCACACTAAGCAATCAAAGACTAATCATTTTACCAAATGAGGAAAGAAATATTTTATTATTCACAAAATGTTGCCAAAACCATGGCAAAAACTATACAATGTGCACCCTAGTTAGTATTCCCATAAGCCTCCTTTCTTTCTGGCTGGGGACAAAAAATCATATGGATTTTCTGAAGGCCATGCAAAATCAGACATCTCCATCTGTTATCTTGAGTCTGTTTTCCTGAGCTTTTCTGTCTCTTTCCTGTCGTCCTTTCCAGAGGATGATCAGTTTATTTCTTCAATAATAGCTGGTCTGCCTGGCTTATTACATTTACAACAGGCTTTTAGGGCACACTTGTCAAGCTTTCAGGATTCGCTGGGTTTCTTGGCTTACAGCACTTTTGGTCAATTTAATCAACAGAGACAGTCTGATGTTTCACGTCTAAGTTTAATTGCAAAGTTGAATCGACCAGCATATGCTGTGTTAAGGATGATGGTTCTGGTGTCCCCACCAGACTTCTTAACTAGCTTATCTTTCTTCTTTTCAGTATTGTACTACTCAAATCTGAGTACAGGAGCATATTTTCATGGTCTTTTTGTGGTCTGTGCCGACTCGTGCTGCTCGATGTGCTCTGCGCTATTGTTTCTCTGGACAATGTGTGAGCTGTGGAGGTTTGCATGACGCTGACGCAAAACCAGGCTTCATTCATCATTATTACACTGTCTGAATCGTTTAGACCCATCTTGACTAAACCCACTCGACCCTTTTCTGCTATGGTCTTGACTTCTGGACTCGGTCTGGACTCTGACTTGAATAAACTGGTCTCGACAACTACACTTCCTCCTTTATCAACAAAATGGCTGCTTCTTAGAACAATACCCCCTGCCTCCACTGTTAAATAAAAACACAGACGAGTGCAGAACCGGATTTCCAGACAGTGTCACTTTGGCTGGTTACTTGAAGCGTTGAGAGAGAGAAAGAGAGAGAGGGTTTATCGCCTTCACAAGACCATATCCCTCTTGATGACATGCTGCTCAGCTTTAATCCTTTGCTCTATTTTTCATCCCCAAACATTTCATCCCAACATTTGCCCGCATTGGGTCAAGAGACACAAATGCCCTGAGCGCCTGAATCAGGATGCTAGTCCTTTTCCACTTTTTTTATTGACCTACTTTTGTAGTAAGATTATAGTAACTGTCATATTTCCATGTATATGTATTAATCCTCACAGCTAAGCCAACAGCGATTGTTTTGACATTTTTTTTTTGCATGCTGTTCAGCATTAATTGCTTCTTATCTTGTCAAAGGCTAGGTTAAAAATGTGTAGCTCGTGAGTGAAGAAAATAAGGTGCAGCTAATCACAGGAATATGGTTCTTTTTCATTGAGTCTCTTAATGATTAAAGCATCGTTACTGAGTGCCTACACTTCTTTGTAATGCAGTGTCTTGCAAATAAACTAACCGAGATTAAACAGATGGAAAGCTAATGGGTGCGTCTAAAATGCGACAAGCACAGAAACATCACGGGGTTTAATATTGTCTTGCTGGAATTCACAGTAAAGTGTTTGTGTATGAGTGTTATGTGGTCTCTGTGATCTCAATAACTAAATGCTGTGGTACAGTTTGCCAATGATAACCTCTGATCCACATCGTCAGGCCAGACTGAACATGTGTTTTACGGCTAAACGCATATTGTTTTAATCTGCCTGCAGTTTAAGACAGATTTCTACATGATAATACTGGTGGTTGCGCTCCAGCTGGGGTGGTGTGGCCCGTCTAGTGCTTTCATACACACTGAGGTATGCGGTCTGCTTTCCTGAGCCATCTGCATGCTCTGAGGGTCTTTGCTAGCCTGTTGCCATGTCTGATTGCATGTAAAACAAGTGCAGGTTGGACAGATTGCCTATATCGCTCATTACCAAGGGCAAACATTAAACTTATTCAGTTATTTATAAGCTCACATTTGTAACTTTCCTACTGTGTTTTCACTGTTAAAATGCACCAGCACTAAAAGACGAATTCACTAAACAGATAGGCAGTCCAGTTTCCAACATGATTAAACATCTTGATTATCTATATTAAGTTAGTATGCTTTTTTTAGTACAGACTAAATGTACAGTATGATGTTTTTTAACTGCTAAGAGCAGTTTTTAATCCACACTCATAATAGTTTTTTTTTTTTTACTTATTATTTCCGAAACCCAAGAAAATGCCACCACATCTCAAAAGATGCATTCTGTGGAGTGAATAAAAAAATGGTGGAAATACATTTTTTGATCAAATGATGATCAAATCATTTGCCTCGTTCGCCTCTTTCGTCCTACTAAGGATAATTTCAAACAATAGCAACTGCACCATTTAATGTATCTTTAATACATTCAATATTTTCACACTTTATGCATAATTGGTCAAATTATTATTTCATATATTATTAATTACAGTTTGATTGGAAAAATAGCACATAATATAATATTCTGTGATATTTACAGTACCTTGATCAGTATCTTGTCTCTTTACTAAACATGTACACTTCATCAAGAGCAAAAACTGTCATCATTTTTGCAAAAGTTATTTTCACAGAATAAATATTGAAATGGTTTATGCTTACTTGAGTCTTTGTTGAGAATATTATAGTTTTAAACGATTTTTATAATGGATTTTCATATTCTACAACTGAAGGTCAAGTATGAATTACTTCAATGAGCTCATTGTTTCTGCTTTAAATTATTATATTGTTTAATTAAATACATTTTTAGCTAACAATGATTTGTATATGTACATTTCTGAAAAACATAACTTAAACAGTTACCTCTGATAACAGATCACTCTAAATAATGTGGACTCAAGCATTTTTCTGTAAAGCTGCTTTGAAACGATGTGCATTGTGAAAAGCACTATACAACTAAATGTGAATTAAAGGTCTGGCACTGGGACTAGGGTAAAACAATAATACATAAAACGAATCCGAAAAGTAGCAAAACTAAAAGATGATGGCATGTAAAAAGTTTTAATCTGATCTTTCATATACTGTAATAAAAAAGAAAAAGTCAAGCACATTTCAGAGCACGGGTATAGTCTGCTACATCCTCCTCAATTTAGCACTTAGAAGAAATGGCTTGCAAATAGGGAATTATGGAGTGCACATTACATTTAGCACAGCTTTTTGGCCATGTTGGCACATTTTCGTGATTTGCATAATTTTTTTAGCGAATCGAGTGCTAAAAAACCCCAGATAGCAGGCACAAATAAACATTACAAATTTATACTTAGTGAATTCCCCCAAATAGTGGATTCACCCTAAACACAGCCACGCTGTGAGATTCTGAAAGCGTGTCAGTCCAAGTGTAAGCCCATCATTTGCCCCCATCGCCCACCAGCGAATTAGCCATTTCTCTTTCGTTCCACCCCTAATTACAGAGCGCTCCCACAGCTCAGCAGTGCAATCCGTTATCAGACACGTCCATTAATCTGTGGACACGACTGGGGCCTGATGAAGCCAAGACAGGCCCTGACAGCCACGCCTGCGGTCAAAGCATAGGACGGCCCGAGCTAAACCTTTGCTCTGAGATTAGAGGTCCACTAGCTCTACATTTATCACATCAGTTTTCCCTTGAGCAGCTGCTGACTGGCTCCTCATTAAGGGCACTTTTTTAGGCCTGCTGCTCGCCGGAAGGCCAGAGATGCAAGAAACATCCTTCACTGGCCCTCCAGCCCTGAGCGCCCCTACAGATCCAAAGGTGATCTGATCACACAGCCTAATCTCCTGTCGCTGCCGCTGAGGACTATCTCTTAATCTTTATAAAGGAGCACTGAGGCACAGGGCTGGTGTGATCAGTCTAAAGGGCTTGGGTTTGAGCATGAAATGCAATAAGTCAGGCATTCAGCTTTGGGTCTACTGATTCCCTGCCTGACTGGATGCCCTGAATAAATTGAGATGTTTGTGGAATTATAGACTATACACAGGGCACAACACGAAAAGAGTAATCTCTCATAACCACAGCACCATAGTCTCCTGGCAATTCAGTGTGCATTCGGAAAGTATAATCAGTTTTGAGACTTATATTTTAATACCTGCTGGTGAGTCTTCAGTGAGAGTAATCCCAAATAGGTCTCAACACTAGTGCAGTTGGAAAAAGAAACTTGACTGTTTAAAATAATAACAATAATAAGATAAGGTCATAGAAATCCTAATCGCAGTTCAAAAAGGTTCAACTCTTGAAATTCTGGTGTACCTTCCATTGTCTGTAACATGTGCAGGATCTGGATATTTAATGGGAAAAAGTATCATTTTACCTATAACAATGACCATATAAAACAATAAAAAATAAAGATGGATATCCCTGAAAAAATCCCTGTGAAACACAATATATATGTAACATCATTGCAATCATTTCTGACATAAACTGTCACTCAATCATATTCTTTAAATGATACAATGAGCAAAATAATGACTGAAAATCAAAACATTATCATTATTATTAAATGTAGTCATAAAACTGACATGTCTTCCAAGTAGACACCTTTAATTGCATTACTGACCCCAAAGACTATCCTGGACACTTAAACCACACTTTAAAATGGATACATTTCATTGCATTAGATCAAATGGCGTCTTCTACTAACTTCACTTTTATAACTATTTTTGAAAATTGCAAACTATGTTAGTGAATGTATAAAGTCAGTTCCCCTCAACTTCAAACAGGTGTCCTAGTAACCTTTTAAAATTATTTGAATCATTTATTTATTTTTTGTTTAACTTTTTTTTTTATGTTTAACTTGAAAGTGTGGGTATACTAACTTTTTTTTTTTTTAAATGCATGTCTTATTCATGTAATGAGTTCAGTTTTAAGTATGACAAGTGTCTAAATACTCTTTGGGTCTACTGCATATCATCATTATGTGAAAATGTTATATTTAGCATGCTTTTTTACATGCTTTTGTACAATAATTACTGTTTCAATGACAATTTCACAAATGAATGCACCAAGTGTGATTGGAGGTGGGGTGAATGACATTATATATTAAACAGGATTTCAAAAAGGCAATATTAAAGTCAACATGACACGGCATTCAAGACCCATTTTACTTTCGTGATGCAATGTATTTCCAGTGAAACTAAATGTTTGATCAAAAAAGGGGGGGGGGGGGGGGGGGGGGACTGTTAAACTGCAAAAATGTTTTTTTTTTTTTTTTTTTTAGCAAAAATATCAAGATGAATTTGTACTTGAACAATGTACTTGAAAGGTAACACTGCATCCTATGATAAATCTTGAAAAAAAGTGTGTTTTATCTGACTGCACTAGCATGTTGTTTCACCTGCTTTTATTTAAAACAAGTGAAAATATTTGCCAGTGTTAATCTGCCAAGACAAAATAGACTAGTATTATCAATATATTCTCTGAAAAGTATTGCTTCTCAAGTACATGTATCTTGTTTCGAATATTTTTTAAAATATATTTTAACAGGAAAATTTGACTAAAATACACATAACCAATATTTTTTTTTTGCAGTATGGGTTTTCTATTTCAGAATGAAGCCCGAATCTAGACTTCAATCTGAATAAAACAGTGAATAAACAACTATTTTGGGTATTGGTTAGCATTGTTTATGGTCTATATGGCGTACAGTAAGTGACATCAGCGAACAAGAAAAGTCATTTCAGAGCCGGAGCAAGTCTTGTCATGTCATGTGTTGACTTTGAGATTTTTTTAAAAATCATTTGCTTATGTTCTCTTGTAAATAAATCACTGAAATAAATTACATCCAACTATTGCCAAGACTCGTGTTGAAAATCAAAGGTAAATGTTCTTACCTTCATTGCAGTAACGACCTACATATCCTGTTTTGGAGCAGTCACAGTAAGCTTCACCGTCAGCCATGCTGCAAATGCCTCCATTTTCACAGGGGTTCTCCGTACACAAGCCTTCCATCTCTAACCGGACCTTTTGGCTTCCCAGGCGCGTTGGAACCTGATTCCCGTAACCCAGGTCTGTAATAATCCCCTTGAACGGTGGCATCTCCTTCGCCGCTGGTAGTGTTAGGGCACTTGTCCGAATGTCTTGAGGCACTCCTCCGAGATACAGGTCACTGACAATCTTCATGAACTGCCTTTGCGGTTTCACCTCGTCCATCTTGGATTCTCCATCCAGTACCAACACCGTTCGCAAGTTGTGCCTGCTAATGGTTGCAAAGTGCCAGCGACTGTCGTTTACCATCTTGCCAGAGGTTATAGTGGTTTCTGCACAGTCCACGCTAAAATGCAACTTTAGCTTGCCTTCCTCAATGCTCAGGAGCAGGAAGTCACAATATCCTCCATCGTCAAAGTAGAGAACCAGAGCGTCTGATATAGCTGTTTTGAATTGAAAGCTGAGGTCACTTCTGGTGCTGGCGTCCCAGCGAAGATAACGTGCCCATTGACCCTCTAAGCCTGTGAACTCCAGGCCCAAACCGAGACTCAGGAAGGTGCTGAGCAGCAATAGTACACAACTGGGCCGGCAAAGGGGAGGCATGGTAACCAGTGATTATGCTATAAGGGATCCTCTAGCAATGAACAAAATAAAATTCCTCAATAATATTTTATGGCAAATTACGTGGAGGTAATTGAAGAAACATCAAATCCTTTAAGTGATAACCATATGGGCGAAGAAGGTGAAGCCACTGAGGCTCTTGACACATGCAATCCTAAATCCTGTTTAGGGGTACCAGACCGAAGAGATTAGAACTGGACCGCTCAGATACACTTATCTATAAGAGAGGCTTTACAGGTGATGCTCCCTTGAGTCGACTTCCTGGATTAAAACAGAGATGCTCCATATTGGTTCTGATTCTATTATATCGCCACATGTTAATGGCCACATTGGGACTTTTTTTTTGCCTGATCTGTGAAGAGAAAAAAAAAAGAGACAAACATCATTAGGGTCATTATGTACATTAAATATACAGACGAATATACTACACATACAGTGGACACCTTTGTATTCCCTTACACCAACTGTTCCTTCAGTTCTGTGTGTTATGTTTAATCATGATTTATTTATTTAACTGACAATGGCAATAAACAATTTCTATATTGTTTTGTTAAACAACATGTCATCTTTATGATATATGATGCTTATTTAAATCACACATATAAATTTCATTGACAGTAAAAAAATGTTTATTGTTAGTGTGGCCAATAGAAGTGAAGCCTTTTACTCAAAAATAAGGCTACTATTTTATAACAAAAAAAAAAGGTTTTAAATTGACTATTGGTAATTCGGTCATTTCTCCTTCCCTTCAGGTTAAGAAGGGAGTCATCCTTGACAACACTTTATCTTTAAATTTTTAAATCATGTCTTAAAACTATTTTTTTTTAGATTAGCTTATTCTGATTGACATAGCCTTTGTGTGTGTGTGTTTTATTTTATTTTTTCATGTTTATATTCATTGTTCATGTATTTTATTGTTTGTAAGGTGTCCTTGAGTGTCTTGAAAGGCGGGCATAAATAAAATGAATTATTATTATTATTATGATTCATTTATTTAACTAACAATGGCAAGAAACAATTTGCATATTGCTTTGTTAAACAACATGTCATCTTTATAATATGACGCTTATTTGTTTTCACACATAGTATAAATAGGCCTTCACAGTAAAAAATGCTTATTACTAGTGTGTTGAACCGATATTTTTGAACCAGGCCAAGAGTAGTTTAGCCTTTTACTAAAAAATAAGCCTACTATTTTATACCAAAAATGAAGCAATCACAAGTACAGTATTTCATATTTAAAACAGCATTTGCATTTAGGCATACAAGTAGTCACAAAATCCAAATATTTGCTGTTTACAACACCTGAGTATTTACAACACACGCGATCGGTTGACAGATGTCTGTCGGAGAGATACTGTACGTGTGTGTCGAATTCCATCCCTCCCTGCCCTGGCTGTTGCTTTTGACATGAAGCCCCCAGAGACAAAAGCCTCCCCAATCGTAGCTGTTCCACCGCGGTGCAACACAATAGCCCCTTTAACTACCTGCCCTGAATAGTTAATCTCTCCCTGGCAGCCAGGTATTGAATTAAGGCAACCGATACCAACACCGATGCGTGGATCGTCCCTTGAGTGATAGTAGGTCTTGTCTGTGTTTCAATAGAGAATGAGCGCTCCACAATATTTGAGAAAGAAAGGTGAAAAGGGTGAGCCAAGCAGAACGCAGTGGCCAGGGTCAAGACATTTACCCATGCATGCCACACTAATAGGCAAGGCATCGTGGAGAACAGGTTTTCAGAAAGACTTCCTGTTAAGTCTGCTATACTGCAAACGGGCCGGCCCGAAACCCGATCCTCACGCACGGCACATGACGACTGCCATTGGTCTGGCACGGAGGATTTATTACAAACATAATGCAGACTATTGTGTTACAAACCATATAGATCTGATCACTCAGAACTCTCCGAAACAGGAGTCTATGAGGATTCTTGTCCTAAGACATTTGGACAGGATTTTGGAGAAAAAAGCATACGTCGTATTTAAAGGAGCTGTATGTAAGATTGTGGCCAAAACTAGTACTGCAATCACTGTCAAATTACTGTAGAGTGGTGTATCCCTTCCCCCTCCTCCCTGACTCGAGGTTGCCAGATCGGCAGCAGGATCCAGCAGGAACGTGACGAGCTGCAGCTGTGGTAACTAGAGCAGACCTGGCAACCCGGATGCTGCAACCCGGATGCCGCAACACTACTGACTTTGTGATTGGTAGATAGGTGGAGGGTGGAGCATCAGACCAAAACACAACATGACAACATCAACATCAGTTGAGGGCTGCAACTGCACTTTTTAAATGACAATATCCTGGCCAGACTACTGTTGTCAGTGATATAAGTATTTGAAATGTACATGATTTCTTAATGTCTAGTGACATTTCAGGGCCATTTTATGATTAATTGAAATACATTTCTTACATACAGTTCCTTTAATATGTTCTGTATAATCCATAGAAAATTCACTCAAACAGAATAAGTGTTGCGTTTGGTTCCCAAAAGGCAATAGAACATGAAAAGCTTACACATAACTATCAGAGGAAAAGTCTCCCTTCAATGATTTTGTCATTTCCAGCATGTTTTATGTGAGCAAGGCCGAGACGGATACAGGAAACAACAAATAAATATCAAGCGTAGCGTCAGTTTGGGCAGGTCATGTTAGTCAAGCTCGCATCAGCTGACTCTCAGCTGATCCACGTCTACCTATAGGAATACGACGCCTATCACTACATACATAAGCTCTTCAGCATTATCAGCAGCTCTCGTGTTTCTCAAGAGCTCATACCCTCCTCCCTCCCCAGCTCCTCCTCTCGCCCTGTCAGCATTTGGCATTCTGATTCCCCTTGAATCAGAATATATTCTCGAATCATGTTGTATTTTAAAATCTTGAATTAATGATATCTGCAATACGTTCATGTTGGTTCTGTTCTGTTGTTTGCTGCTCTCCCTGCTCTTATCTATGCTAGGCTGCATGGATGCACAGGGAGTTCTCGCCCAGAACAAAACCACACCGCCAATCCAAAATGTATGCTAATTGTCAGTCGTATTTGACGATAGTGGTCCTGACTGATTATGTCTCCAATGTTGTGTCAATCTCAGCAGGGTTTCTCATGCAAATGTCTCTAAAATTCTCACAATCTGAATTTCTCTTATCGAAAAGGCAATTTGACAACAAGTCGTCCAATACCTCCTGACATGCATTCACAAAGAACAAGAGATGAGCAAGCTGTAGAAACCTGCAGTGTAACAGTAATGTGCAGCAGCACCGGCGCTGAAACACACACTGTTTGAGATGGGATTCCCAATTAAAGGAAGAGTTTTCCCCAAAACCTTCTTCTGTCGTCATTTACTCACCCTCTTGTCTTTCAAAACCTGACTTTCTTTCTTTTGTGGAACACCAGGACGTTATTTATTGCAAAATGTTGATGCTGGTCTTTTCCATAGAATGAAAAATGACTGCCAAGCAGCTAACATATGGCCAAAAAACTGCAATGCACTAAGTATAGGTCTTATGGACTACTTTTTTGATGCTTTACAGTTTTTTTATTATTATTTTGACAGGCCATGGTCTCCAATAGCGAAGTACAGACATTCTGGCAAACATTTTTTTTCGGTATTCCATGGGAGAAATGTTCAGGTCAAATGACTTGGTATAAAACCTTGCCATCTTTTTTCTAAAAAGTTACATGGCAAAATATCATCTGAAGGCTGAGCTGACCTTGACCCTGATGTTCAGATCGTTCACATGTTATTTAAATGGGGGATAGAATCGGTGAAATTGGAAATATAATAAATATATTGAGGACAGAAAACCAAATTGTATTATTGTGCCCCAGTCAATTAATTTGTCTGAGGTATTTTCATATTCCTGCCTATTAAAGGGTTAAGCCAGAGCCTTGATATGCTACATTACCATTCATAAAGGCCATGAAAGTTTTGCACTATTAACCAAGGGGAAAAGAGAGAGAGAGAGAGAGAGAGAGAGAGAGAGAGAGAGAGAGAGAGAGAGAGAGAGAGAGAGAGAGAGAGAGAGAGAGAGAGAGAGAGAGAGAGAGATGGGGGGTTGATCATGTTCAGGCTGCTGCATGCATCCTTCAGTCTCCTCTCTGAGCAATGACAGCAGATCTCAAACACACATTAATTATTTCATAAATGTTTAGGTCATGGGAATTATAGGATAAAATAAATAGGAACGTGTCAATCTATTTGATGCTGTAAAAAAATGCATTTTCAAATTTACATTAGAAGAATATTGCTATCCCAGAGCAAACACAAGAAAAATAAATGCGTGTATGAATACACAATTGGCAGAAATATGATGATGATATAACATAATGTGATGTTAGTTAACGTCTAAACGCATTTGTGAAACTCTCTATATCTCTTAAAGTAGTTCTGCTTTACCTTATATGATGAAGATTACTCCACCGATAGAGAATCCGATTTCTTTAACAAATGTTCTCGAAAAAAGCGTTAAATCCACATTGCATGTGATGGAGCGCGGATGGAGTGATGCTGAGGTCAAACCCAGAGTAGTGGGATAATCCGCGCATCCCGAGCTCGCTCTCCTCCGCTCGACTGAGTTGCTCGTGCCTGTCCTGAGCTCGCGAGCTCCGCGGCTCCGCCTACTACTTATATTAAACACGCCATTTAAAGACGTATAGAGACAAGTACAGCGGTTTCTGTCAGGAATCCCCTTCAGGTATCTTTACATGGGTGAATATCCATTTTTAAACCTGAATTTCACACTATACTTCCTCAGAAGATCTATCGTCTGCACACACACGAAATGATGAAAGCTCCGGATGTGGGAACAAGCGTTTAGAGTTTTCTGGAAGACTGGACGCATATGGGGAAGTCTCCATCGTGCTGAATAGACATAGTTCTTGAACTGCCCAGATACTAAACGCACACGTAATGACAGTTCCCCAAAAAATAATTTTACATTTACATTTAAAGGGATTAATTTAAAGGGGGAACACACCTTGAAGTCCTGTTCGACCGTTAATTGACACACATACTGTCACGCGCATGCGCACAGCTTGAGAAATCTACTCACTCCTGTCTGTCGACGCTCAGATCAAAGCTAGTCTAGTGGAGTGACATATGAGGTAGTTCTTGCGGCCTAATTAAACGGAAAAGTTAATGAAAAGATCACTGACGCGGCTTAATGAGGCAGTGTGAGAGTCCAGTGGGAACACGCAAGAGAATGCAAATAAACACGCATGCGGGAAACATGAAGGTTTGTCGCGCGCAAAAAATAAATAATACAAAAACAATATATTGTTTTCTTTTTATACCAATGTAAATGCATAGGGAGTAAATGAGGGCATACTAAAAAAAACATGATTATTACATATTTTATTTATCAGAGCCAAT